CCTGACTCTTCGAGCTCATGGTGAAGTATAAATAACTGATGAGCATCACTCATTAAGTTTGCCTAAACGTTACATTCGCTGTAATTTTGTCAGACGTAGGCGGAAAAAAATAGAAATAAGTCATCTAAGTCGGTTAAGAAAGCTTCTTCAAAGAGCACATTTAATATCAGTTTTCGGAGAAAGCAGCACTTTAGTATTCGAAAAAACCAAAATCGGAGTAAATCATCCCTCAGGTTTCTCCGAAATTCGGAGTAAATCGTTCATATCTTTTCCCAAATTTGGGAGTAAATCGTTCATATTTTTTTAAAAAGTATGGGGGGTAATCCCTCCATCCCCACCGGTCGAACCGCCACTGATTACGCATACAAGATCGGCATGAACTATTTCAAGTTCACGCTTATCCACTATGGTAATCTTTTATGCACATGAAACAACATCTTTTCAACGTTGCCGTATAATATTTGTCATCGGTGTATCTGATTCAATATTTAAAAAGCGTTTTTGCCAAAGTCATGACAAAAATGTCTGGATTTTCAAAGGGTAACGTTCGTCTTGTCTAAACTTTAACAAGGTTTTATCTCTAACCTTCAGACATTAACGGATAAATACCGTGTACAGTATTCTCTACCTTCTCATGAGTTTTTCTTTCACATTCTATTTTTCTTCGTCAATATATAACATGCACATTGCCCTTATTTAGTCCATTATTTTCTATTATGAAGCGTTTAACTAAAATGTTCTTTGTTCGCGTTTAAACAAAGTTAAGCCTTGCGTTTTTCTCTTATCTTGTTTGTACGTTTATGACTGAGAAGAAGAAAGAATGAAAAGCTATAATTTGTAAATTGCGCATTGTTTATAAATCCATATTTGCGCAGTTCTAAGTAAAAAGTCAAAACTACTACACGTCCACTCTCCTAAACATCTCTTTTTGTTATAGATTGAATATGTCAACAAAAAGAACCTTTAATGTTAATTCTGATGGTAAACCCATTGCTGAAGATGATATTCTATCCACAACACGAGTTATAAGCTGTTTATTATTTGCTGCATTTTTACCCGGTGGAAAAAACACAAGATGTATTCTTTTATCGGCGGAATGTTTACCTTCGAGTTTAAATAACATTTACGACGAAACAAAAACAATTATTTGAAAATATACTTGCTGAATCAATAAATTTTGATGACCAAACCGCACCACGTTCCTGAATACTAGGAGACATAAAACAAGATACGCTACAATATTATTGCTGATATAAAAGCTGATATTAATATACAATCGACAGATGACGGCAAACAATATGGTATCAATAATGGAAAATTCAGAAGTTTCTTAAATTCCATCAAATATATTGATTGTGGTTTGAATAATCGAGCAAATGTGAACAACACAATAGAAGATCAATTATTTATGTGAATCAACAATAATATGTGAAAAAAGTTATGATGGTGCATCAAACGTTTTTTTGTATCTAAATGCTATCAGAAAAATAGATAATTACAAGCTTTTAATAGCGGTAATAATTGAAAATTTAAAATCAAATAATGCAAAACAATATGTATTTCAATATTATGGCGTTGATTCGTATTTTAATTATGTGGTATTTGAGGCTGTATGATATAAAAATGCCACTTTGGGTACAATCGAAAAGGTAATGATATCATTCGTATACGATGATGAAATAACCCATGCACTGGATTATTGAACTCACCACTCTATTCCATTTCTATTCATCTTGTTCGTTGTTTTATTTCAACTGTCATCTAACTATATTATATTTTTTTTTCTGTCGTTAGGATTTTTAATTTAAAATTCTGAGAGATGGTGCATTACTTCAGTAGAGCAAGAAGTGAATCGATGAACATTCGCTTAAACGAGAATGAAAATTTTCTCAGTCATATTGTATAGTTGTTGCAGACATTGGATATTTATAGAGAAGTGACGGAATGCAATACAACCAAAGCGCAAAGAATTTTTTAGGACTAAACCGAAAGTAGTCAGCGAAGTATTTTTCCGCTACTTATGCAAAGATTTCTCCACTTTTAACTATTTTGACACACTATGCGTTTCTTTTTTCTTCGTAGGCATTCTCCCTACTACATGAAAAATAAATTTCATTCCTTTCGGACTGTGACGTGAATATCCGAATACTGAAAAAATTTGAAACTGCAACTGTAAATATCTAAATTTCTGAATATCCAAAGCATACTTTTTTTCGAGTGGAGAAAAAAATGCAGGTTGAAAAAATGAAAATGGCAGAAGTGCATTTCAGTCATGACGCCTTTTACCGACGGAAAGCCGAATTCAGTTAGCCATTATTTGCCTTCGCGCCCAGACTAAAAATTCGAAAGCATGTTGTGACTGCCTGACATGAGCATACTGATCATCGGCCGATGGACCGCCTTATTTCCAACACTATCGAACGAGAAAATGGATTCGTAGAACTGGCCATTTCCGATATGGAAGTCTACTCACTTTTGGGCTCATCCTCACCGCAACCTAAATAGTCGAAATCAACTTGGAATTGCCCCAAAATTATTTGATAACAGTTAATTTCCATCAGAAGTAACATCAAATTTTCCATCCAAAGAGCACTATTAATGTTCCGTTGTAGTGATATTGACTCTTATTGCTAATGAAGAGAATCTGAGATTACTGCATCGTGAGAAAGAAGTAATATCTGATTCTAAGATAAATCGAATAAAATTGTTGTTAGATATTTGTTGTTCAGAAATACAACAGATGAAAAATGAAAATTTGCGTTTATGAAACATTGGTATTAAGTCATATGAGTATATTTTTGGGATGTATTTTTTGTTGCTTAAAAAAGTTTTCAAAAAATGCAAGTCTGTCGAAGAGAACGGTCCGCTGTTTTTCCAAGCCTGTCTGTACCCGTGCATATTTCTAATCTAAAGCACTATCTAAATACTGTCTCTCGGAAACAAGTACGTCGTGTCACAGACTTAGCTATACTTTCAATACACAACTAAACACATCATACGCGAACGCAGCATCTTCTTCAGTACAGATGACTGAATGCTGTACTTTTGTACCGAAAAGTGTTTTTATAATACTGAATAAATGTAAATTACTGGTGAGAAAGGAAAGATCAATCACAAAACGGTACTAAGGATCCAGCTGTTTGGCGTAGGTATCCGTCTGTGATGCACTGCTCGGATTTTTCGTGAAATATCAGTTAAAAGGTATAGTAAATATAGAGGCTAATTAACATATAATCAATATTAATTAATATACAGATTTAATGTGGAGAGATTGATATGGAAAATTTTCTATAAATACTAGTGAATATTCCCATTTAGATATAAATCATACAACAGTGATTTTCTTCTGCTGCATCTTCAATCTGTTGTACACTTTTACGTGATAACTGACGATCATCACAAATATAAAGATTTTTCCAAGTATGATTGCATTTCAGTATATTACATATAACATTGATACTTCGATCTGTTATGCTGTTTCTAGCAATCGGTAATATGTGGGCAATTTCTTTAACGCATTCATCTGAAATCTGATTTCCATCAAGATCAAGCACTTTAAGGCGTGCATTTGAATATGATCCTCGAGCCAAATACTTCACACCTCGATCGCTATTATTATTTTCAACCAAATGAAGACCATGCCAGTATTTGTTGATTCTTAATTCGTCGCCTAGGATACTCATATCATCATCAATGAATTGTCTACGACTTAAATCCATATCTGCCTCTCCTAGTCGTGTGTCCATCTCATACTGTAACTCACTAGTTGACACCATAATTGTTGAGACAGTTGAAACTACTCGTCCACTATGAAATATTTTAGAAAACGCAATTGGCAAAGAAGTTATAAGCACAAAATCGACTTTAATATTCCTTTTATATTATTATATTATATATTCCATATTTTCCTTTTATCTTGATAAAGTCGGTAAATAGCTAACACATCTTCAAAATGGTCGGCAAACAAAACAAGAAAGATTAATAAAACTTTTCAGAAAAAAACTTATTCTTACTTTTCGAATGCCTTTATGACAATACAGACGATGGAATGAAATCCATAGCTGATGCGTTAAAAGTGAATAAAAGGCTCCATACAGATGGACGAATATCCGAAGTAACTCGAATTCGACTGAGTAGGGGAGGAGGGGTTAGGGAGTAATGAGAGTGAGCGAAATCAGAGTGATGCTGAAAAAACATAAAAGTCATACAAGCAATTTTTCTGCCTTTCTGTAGAATATTCCGGATTTTGATTTTTGTCCAGCCCACAGTCTCGAGCTATTATCGGTTGCTGGAAACAATGAAACAGACCAAAGTGTGTTTACTTCATTCTCTTTTCAATTACCTGTTACACAGTACTCAACGTTTTACTGAAAGTCCTTATAGTCATATAATAACTAAACGAGTTGATTCTAGATGGAAATTTTTCCATATCTGATATGATTATTATTTAGTTTCAGTATCAACTCTTAACGAAAGGAAGAAACCAGTGGAGAAAAAACGTTTGAATCGGCAGAGGAAGGTGTTACAGCCAGAGATGCAACCGACCGGCGATCGGACTGGACCGCCAGTTTTCTAAAAATTTTGACCGGTAAGCGACCGGTAGTCGCATTTCTCAAGAACTCTTTCGGGATAGTAATTGCTATAAGAACAGTGAGCCTTTCGCATTTCTTTTCATTTGGAGAAAAGAATTTGCCCCTCACCCTCATCGTATCACAGACAGTTATATAACAGATATTATTCAATACATTCACACATTACGTATAGATCGGAAAAATATGAATATTCCAAACAGGGAATAATAAATGCAATTATTATCTTTCTTTGAGCAGTACAAAATGATACTAAATATTCTTTTTTTCTGTCATATTTTCTACTTATAAGCCAAGCCGATCCGAACCGATCGAACCGGCCGGTAGATAAGTCGACCGGACCGAGAACTGACGCCCGGTCCGGTTGCATTCTGGTTACAGCGCATAACGTTGTACCAATAAAGCGTTTATTTAAGCTCGGAACAACTGAACTCTAGCAAACTCGGTTATTTATCGAGTAAGCATTTGGGTTTTTTTAATTTACAATAACATTTCAAACGTAGTAAAGTAGTACTGAGCAAAAATAGTCACTTTTTGAATTAAAAAACCACATGTCGGCCTGGTCTATAGAAAAATGCCCGCTGTGCAGGGAACTAAAGAGAAAAAACAGAAGAATGGAAAATTTACACGTGCGGTTTTTGTTTTATTTGCGAAAATGCACTAAATAAGGCAAAAGGAAAGAACTACTCATTTTAAGGACTTTATTTTGTCCTCGTCGAAGGAGTATGGAGGTTTGCAGAAAGTTTTCTGACACCCTTAAGAACCTAACTTGTCGAAAACATTTTACTTTCCAATGAAAATGCAAGTTAAAAGATACTTTCAATAACACTAGAAAATAGAGCAACCATTTCTGATCAAAACGAGACATCTCCCATCACGTTGTGAACAAGAGTTAAGAGAGTTTTATTGGAAGCCCTAAAATTTGCATCAGACAGTGGCGCCACCATATCTCGAAAGCAACTTTTACCTTAACACCATTTCATAGCTACAAGATTTCTCGGTGATGAAACGCCGATTTTTGATATTCCGCCTAGATTTGTGGTTACAAAGTAAGTTAATGCGACTTTTTCCAATTTTGCACTTTTGACGCTAACCATTAATTTGAAAAGAAAAAAATCAAAAATTCGGCTCTGGTAGCCTTTAGCCACATGTGTTTTCGTCAGCTTAAGACCAGTCCGAGCCTTCCACAGCATTTCGTTACGGAGAAATCTGGGAGCTACGGATAGCCCCCTTTTGGACACTGTTGTGGCGATATCTCACAAACCGTGTACGATGGAACCGAACAAAAAATTTCGTCACCATACTTTCACAAGGTCAGTATCTCCTGAAAGTTTGGTCTAGATCCGACTTATACTTTCAGAGCTGGGTTTCTGACGGGGCGGGGGGCTTAAACTGCGTACTGAATTTACTTGTGTCACACTGAGAAAGAGCAGAAAAATAGTGATATAAAAATGCCAACAAAGGAGTGCTAGTGATAGTCTTGTGGGATCAACAATTTTGTACACAACTTTTTTTGCAGCCTTGGGCGTGCAACTTTATTTAAAAAAACAGCTTATGGAATTCTGACCAGGAAAACGGCATTTAAAAACATAGGAGCGGCATCGACGAGAAGGCTGACATTTTCCATTTTGGTACAACCTTTCTAGTTTTCGACATAAAGTCACATTTCATTGATTTTTTGCAGATATAATTCCATACCAAAAACCTTTAGAAACGATATTTCTGACCGTGTTTCAATTACTAATTAGTTGTGGTTAGGACTAATTAGTGGCATCCCAGTGGACAAAGTAAACTTTTCTAATGTCACAACAGATCATTTTTGGTGTCAAAAAAGTGACCAATTCTCAATTTCGCTCAACCAGAACTCACGTCCTACGTAATAAACATATCATATTCGGAATCGGGATCAAAAACTTAGTCGACTGATGTGTATTTCGAAATTTTTAGTTCATTTTTATTTTTTGGCGACAACCTCGATGATTTTTCAACGTGAAAATTCGAAAAACATAAAAGTGCTCGCGTGAGATAGATATACAAATTCGTCGACTCAGTTTTCGATCCTGATTCCGGATATGATATGTTTATTACATAAAACTTAAGCTCTGATTGAGAAAATTGAGAATTGGTCAGTTTTTTGACACCAAAAATGATCTATAACGGATTTTTCAGACAAAAAAGGCAAAAATTAAAAAAATGGCTCGAACAATCGATAGACTTATCGAATGATATATCGCCTGATTTGGTTCCGCTTGTTGTGACATTAGGAAAGTTTACTTTGTCCACTGGACTGCTACTAATTAGTGTCAGCAATATCGTTTTTAAACTTTTTGCGGATGAAATTATATCTGAAGTGTCCTTGTTTGGGTGGAGGACGTTCATTCTGATTACTAATCGAGTCTTGATTGTATCACAGGATGTGTACATATGAATCCTCCTTGGAAGAACCACAGAAAAATGGTCAGTGTGCCTTGTACAAAACAAATGGTAATGATAATGATATATCTATGTGTTACCAAACGGCTTCGCTCATTTTGTGTTACACTAGCACAGTTACATCCTAATCATAAAAGGTTTTCAGATCAAAGTCTCTCATCTCTTTCCCGTTTTCCGTTTCCTTCTTATTTTGCTTACATTTATATATCTCTTCTTTTTCCTTTTGTTTGTGCGCTGCGTGAGCACGTTCACTCTGACTACTAATTGAGTCTTAATTGTATCAGAGGACGTGCGCATATGAATCGTCACTGAAAGAATCACAGAAAAATAGTCAGTGTGCCTTGTACAAATTAGACGAGAACAAATAATGATGACGATAAGAGTTTATAGAGAAAGTGCAAATTATCACGACCATGATTATAAATCATAGAATAAGTTATTGAGATATTTCGGTAGGTCGCCACAGGTCGTCACTGGAAGAATCACACAAAAATAGTCAGTGTGCCTTGTACAAAGTAGATGAGAGAAAATGGTAATGATGATGAAATATCTATATGTTATCATAAGGCGTCACTCATTTTGTGTAAACATGCTAGACTTTTAGTCCATAGCCTTATTCATATCTCTGCATCGTTTTACAGTTTTTGGAAAACTTATCTTGCGTCTTTCAACTTGAATCTCAACCGCTTTTACGACCTGTTACCCAAGATCCACTGTTACACCAGCACAGCGATGAACACCTCGGATATGGAAACGTTTGAAGACGATAAGTTCCTGCTTCATCGTGTCAAATTTTCGTTGCTACTTGTGCTGCAAATCCCAGCGATTGCACTCTCCCTACTCATCTTCCTCTTCT